GATTGGCACAAGACAGAGCAGAGTTTAGGGCTGTTGTACATAGGGTCGCATGAGTCGCAAGTGACTCGATGGCACATAACAACAACAACAACATCTCTAATTCAATTAGTTCTCCAGTAAAATGGGAGTCGTTACAGGACCTCCTTTGCAAATTTATTATGAAAAGTAGATGAGACAATTCCTGTAAAGCACTTAAGTATTGCTTCCAACAAAGTGCATGCCTGGTAAATATAAGTTTTATTAGAAATGTTATTTAGCGGACAGAATGTGACCTCAATTCCCTTTAGTCTTCATTCTTTCTGGTGACCCTCACTTGGGCCACTGATGGATGGACTTCATCACATCTGTCTATGTGTTCACAGATTCATTCTCTGGGGAATATGAGATCAACAAAATCAGGAAATTGAGCTAAATATTTTTACAAATTTGATGTGTGTTTATTCTGTTATACGTAGAGACACTACAAGCTGACACCATGCACAATAGCTTTTCATAGGGTCTCTACTGGGTCAGAAATGACTTCTGTCACCTAACAGTAACAAAGGAGTAATACTGCTGCTACTACTACTACTACTACTACTACTACTACTACTACTACTACTACTATTGCTAATTTAGTTAATGCGGGTTTAAGAACTCACTGTGTATGGACATCGTCAGAGAGAGATAATGAAATTTAACTCTGATGGGTCAGTTGTTAGGTACAGTCATTGAGTGGGAACAGACCCATAGCTGACCCTCCAGCAGAGGGAGTTAATCACACTGGTGGAGATTGCCCATTTTGATCCCACAGAGTGGCTGGTGGGTTCAAAGGCATGCCATGGAGTGGACAGGGCAATTCCTTAGCACTTAGTCTCCAGAGCTTCATGATCCAGTAGCTAAGTGCAAAGCCCTGGAGTAGGCACTTGGGGATGCATAAATATGATTCCAACATTTTTGTCCCCAATGTGTAAGCCCCTTGAAAAAGACAAATACATAATCAAAAGTTGACTTCAGGAAGGGTTAACAGAGAATCAGAGGAAGTTCTATGAAAGCCCAGAGGAGGGAGCCCTTCAGGCTGGTGGGGGGAAGGGTGTGGCTTTGTGGAAAGTGTTTTAAGCAGATGATGGAACTGGCACTTGCAGCTCTTTACCATTGCGGGATTGATTCTAATCTTGGAGAGAAACCATAAAGGGGACAAGAAGAATAATACATGATCTTATCTAATTGAGTCCCAGATCCTCCAAAATAGTTAAAGCTTGTCCTAAGAATTCTGAGGTGAGACTAATTGTTCTGGCATGAAGGAAGAAACGCCCAGGATGATGAAAGCTAAGAAAAGCCCAGAGGATCAGAAAAGATAGAGTGATGGGAAGGAAGATGGCACGATCATTAGCTGAGCGCACAGCAGAGAACACACTAGTATGTTCAGAGAACTGTGTCAGAGAACACACTAGTTTAGTCATCATGATAATGTCATGATGAGGTCTTTGAGATTCAGAGAAATAAGCAACAAACATATTGAAGGTCATAGGAACCCAGGTCAGTGTGACCCTGGAAGGTGTACTTTGAACTGTTCTTTTCTATTCTGATCCTTCCCAATCTTTAGGGTTCTTCAGATGTCCCTAGGCTAACTTTCAGCAGACCTTTATGTTCTTTTTGGAAGAACATTTTATTTCAGTCATTACAGACTAAAATACATGTTAACCAACTATGTTCTAGAAGAGGAGAAGCGGTAAAAAAAAATTTTTTTAGGACAAACATTCCTAATAACTTAAAGGAGTCCTTGAAAGGCGATCGCAAAGAGGGAGTTACCCAACTACAGGATGGCTAGGTAGGAACTGTAGTCATACTTCAATAATTTAATAGAAGACCTCATTTATTACATTTTAGATTTGGAGTGATCTTAAGAATTTTTTACTTTACTGTCGTCCTTTCACCTTGCATAAGAGCAAGCAGAAATCAGAAGATTCCACACAGGTCAGAACTAGAAATCAGGTTATCTGACTCTCAATTATTTGCCTTTTTATTACAGTGAGAGGAAAGGAAATAAATCCATAAAAAAATCAAGTGATGGAATGACAGAGGAATAGTAGTGTATGATATAACATGAAAAGAAATAAGAAAAATATATATATATATATTCAATGAATAGATGAGTGAAAATGTTTATCAACTGCTTTCAATGCATTCAGACTGAAGTGAAGGAGCCGAAAGACCATTGTCCGTCCCTTCCAATCTACAGGAAAGGATGACTTTGTCACTCAGATGTTAACTTCTCTTTAAGAAAATAAGCAACACTTATTCCCTAACAAACAATAACAGAAGAATAAATGGGGTGCATATAGATGGTATTTTAAGATTTACAATTGGCTAAAGCATATAATCCCAAGCTTTGGTCACTTAGTGCTAAGGAGTTGTACTGCCAACCCAGTCACATGATTCAAACCCACCAGCTGCTCCATGAAGAAAGATGGGCAACCTCCTCCCATGCAGTTTGCTGTCTCTGAAACCTCACTTGAAGGGGCAGTTATGAGTCGATTCTAACTCAGTGATATTGTTTTGTTGTATACTGTCAAGTCAGAATCAACCCATAGCTGACTCTCGTGAGTTCTCAGAGGCAGTTAATTGCATGGGAGGAGATTGTCTATTCTTTCCTTGTGGAACAGCTGGTAGATTCGAACCACATGCCTTCAGAATTGCATCTTCTTGCCACTAGGCCATCAGAGCTCCCCAGGATTCAGTGATACACAACAATACTATTATATTATAAGAGCCTATGTTGTCTGTAAAATAATGAAGTCAATAGTCTCATTTTAAAAGGTAAAGAAGTGGAGAGGAAGGATAGGTATAATTACTTACTCAAGGGTAGGTACTGATAAAATTCTTATTGGAACAGACTTATAGCTGGCCCTCCAGAGGGTTTTCTGAGGCTATAAATCACATAAGGGGAGACTACCAGTCTTTCTCCTGTGGAACCAGTGGTGAATTTGAAATTCCTGAGAGGGAGTTAGTAGAGGAACTCCCTACCAGCAACCCCCTCCCCCCAAAAATGTCTATGCTGCTGTGTCTGTAGAGTCAGAACTGAGTCAGCAGGTTTTCAGAGGCAGATAATCACACAGGAGGAGATTGTCCATCTTTAACCCCAGGAGCACTTGGTGAATTTGGACCTCGTGCCTTTGGGCTGGCAGCACAGCTCCTTGTCACTAAGCCACCAGAGGTCCTGTCCCCAAATGCCCAGGAATAACCAAAACTATTATAAACAATGCCTGTATAGCCACTCCCCCACAAACATTAAAGAAACTCAGTTAATACCTAATTGCCACAATTTATGTGAATTAGTTATGTTTTCAACCTATATCAGGAAAAAAGGCCAAGTATTTTGATGATGTAATTCATGTAGCACTTTTTTTTTTTTTTAAGTTGTGAGATATCCTCATGATGTTTGTAGATGGCTTGTATTTGCAGAAAGTAAAATCCTTACTTAGGCAACTTCTTCACTCATGACATTAAGCACCCATAATCTTCTTCCATACTGTGTCTGGAAACTCTGACACTCTATTCCGTATGTAGTGCCACTTTCACTTTAGAACTGGAGAAACTGAGATCAAGCATTCCTGGCCTAAGTTCTTCCCAAACCAGAAAGATCTGGGAGCTCCCATTTTCAGAATGGTGCTATAATCCCTGCATACCACATTCTGACTTTTATAGAGGGGATGTCTGAGTCATTTGCTCATTCTACAAGTCGACATGTATCTCACCAACCACATTCTCCACTGGTTTCACTCTCCCCAAAGCTTACAGAAATGATTCCCCCTCGCAGAGCCGCTCAAGAACACAGCAGGAAGAAAGTCACACACTGGAGGAGTTCACCTGAGGCCTCCCACATGCTATTCACACACAACCTCACACACGTATTGTTACCATTATATTACTTGAACAGACTAATAGCTAATGATCTGTAACTCATCACTGCTTATTCATTTTTACTTCTTAAACACTGGAGGAAAGAAAAAAAACAAAACACCAACAAGCCAAAAATTGTTTTGCCATAAGGGGGAGCTTTTGAGTTCTACAAAGAGGGGGAAAAAAGAAGGGGGAAAAAATTACATTTATGTCCCAGTTCAAAAACAGATCTACAAAGCAGCATATGATCAGATCCTTACTTGTAACTCAAACCTTGTCAGAAGACTCTAATTACTAGGTTGAAAAAGAAATAAATAAAGCTAGTATTTCCCTCTCATTTTCCTAATAAAATCAACATAATTTCTAGCAATCAGCCAAGTATCTATAAAATTATTCAGGAGAATTCAGATACACAGTTGTGTAGATCTACAACCTCTGAAAGGCAAATGCTAGGAATTACACTTTTCCTCCCCCCCCTACACCCCAGCCTCATGATCTGATGAGGACTTGAAAGGTAACTTTTAGTTTTGATGGAGTAAAAATCTGGGGGCTCTGGAAGAGAAGAAGCATTGCATAACTTTAGGGAGATTTTGAGAGGAAAAGGGGCAGAGAAGGTAAGAGAGAGGAGAAAAGGGAGAGAATGAAGTGGAGGAGAAAGACATCTAGAGAGATCAGAGAACTGGAAGAGAGAAAAGAGAAGGCAGGCAAAAAGAGGAGAGAGAAATAAGAGAAAGAAAGAAAGAAGGAAAGGGAGGAGAGGAGGGGGAAAAAGCCAAGAATCAAGTTTCAGGACTGTGCTGTAGAGAAGGATGAGGTTTACCAGCAAAGTGCAAAGGGAGAAAGGATGGCTTTTTCCTTCTGTCAGGACGAAAAACATAACAATAATAATAGAGGAGGGGGTGATTTTAAAGAGGAAAAAAAGGCAAGCAAAACAAAACAACAACAAGAACCTGTGTTTTGACCAAGAAAGAGGAGAGCTCCGAGGACCATAAGGGGGTGTGTACAGAATTTCATTAAATTGTTACTTTAAGATTGTCTTCTTAAAAAAAAAAAAAAAAAGAAAGAAAGAAAAAGAAAAAGGAGGGGGTGGAGAAGCGGCAGCGAAGGCAAGGAGGCAAATGGCAAAGTGGAGGAAGGCTGGGTAGCTCGGCCTCTCCAAACTGATTGATTAGTCATGATCCTCGCAGTTTTAACAGGGACTCATTCAATTGGGAAGGTGGAGCGCTCGGGAGCAGATTAGCATACGCTTGTTTACTCATCTTCTGAGGGATTTTTCCCCCCTCTTTCCTTTCATTTTGTGTAGAAGGAGGGAGGGGAGGGGGGTTGGGGGGGAAGGGGGCTGTGGCTTGTGTTATAAAGGACGCAAAAAATAAATAAATTAGAGCATCTTTGGGGGGAGGGAATTCTGCGGATCAGTGTCTTAGAGGAGCTTTTTTTTTTTTCTTTTTCCAAGAGCGAGAAATCATATAAAATAAAATGAAATAAAACAAGGAGGAAGGCAACCAGCTGTTAGAGGGGGGAAATAAGGCAGATAAAGGAGAGGGGAGAGAAATTAATTGCCAAGCAGAAGGAGTTGGGTTGTATTTTTCAAAGGTGGGGGGAGTGGAGCACACACCTTGAGGAGGAAAGCGAGAAAGAAAAGAAAAAAGCAAGTGGAAGGGGGGGCTTGCCCAAGAAGGGTGAAGAAGCGGAGAAAGTCGAGGCGCCGAGGCTCCCAAAGCTGGCAGCTCCGGGCGGCGGTGCAGGGGCGAAGGGGGGGCGGG